AGCATACCATGTCTAACTTTTACTCGTAGGGAGGCCACTCTGGGAGAGCACGCCTTGAAGGCCACAATACTTTTCAATATTTTTGGCGACGCCACAAACCCAACACCAGAGTGCGACGTGATGTGTATGTCCAGCTCGCCTGACAAGAAAATCGTGTAGCCATTATGCTCGTAGTATTCTGCTCCATGTAAGTGCGTTTCTTGTATACATAAAATGTCTATTTCGCGTATGCGCATGATGTCGATAATTTCGTCGATCTTGACGATGGAATCGCCTCGTAAACCTTCGATGTTCCACGTTCCCATGCGCCCGGGGCAGCAAGGTGAGCAGGCAGACCGAGGTCTACCCCAAGAGAGGCTGGAAGAGGATGATAGTTCATGACACCCTCCGTCACTTTGTCCATGGGGATGGCCGGGAGGAGGAGGTAGAAGACTATGGAGCGGAACGGCGTCGTGGAGTAAGGGAGATGAAACGACCGCTCTCCGCTGTACGACGGTATCTTTGCCCAAGTTCGTAACGGCGGTAATGGTATCTTTGCCCACGATGGCGGTATAACTATGTACATGTAGATCTTCTGGGCCGGCTCTGGGGACCGGCCGTGTTTCCTACTTACCCTTGGAGCCTCCCTTTGCTGTGCCTTTCATGCCCTCGGAGGCCCGCTCCAGCAACGAGGCGTTTTTCGCGATGAGATCGGTCAGCATGGGATGTTTTTGAAGTTCTTCCCAAGCTTCCCACTCTGGGCCCCATTTCAGTACCAGGCGCGACTCGTCCACGCCCACGGAAAGGGCAGCAACGCCACCAACGGAGACTATGAAAGGAAACTCGTTGGTTGCAATCTGTATATTGTACTTGTTGTTCAGCTCGTTGTTGAGGATGCGCTTCAAGCCAAAACATACGTTACGAGCCGCGCGGAAGGACGGTGGCTTGTCCTGTGTAACCCAGATTGTTGTCCCTCCGTGGTCAGGGCTCGCACTCCGTAACAATCCAACTGCCAAGTCTCGATCAGCTTCGCTTGCAAATACCGCGAAGATAATGTCTCGGAAGTCGCCTTTTGAATATATGTCCATAGCTGCAGGCGCCGACAACGAGGAAAGCAGGTCTTTGACCCAAGAAGAGGCTGCTGACATAGAATCGAAACCAACCAACTTTCCAATCACTGCTGTACGGTCCCGCTTTGCCTCCCCTGACATGTTTGATTGTTGTGCTTTGCCTGATACTTTTAGCTCCGAAACCTGACCCTCCAACATCTTGATCTGCTCCCAGATGGCCGCGTCGTCGCTCCGGGGGGTGGCCGTGGCGTCGGAATGCTCGGTGGTCTGGTTCTCAAGGTTGGTGAGGCGGATGGCGAGGTCCTCGATGCTCTCCTCCACCTCCTCGATCCTGGTGTTGATGGTCCCGCTCATCTCATTCAGGCGGCGTTCGAGGCCGTTGATGGTGTTGCGGATAGGTTGCACCTCCTTGCGTATCACGTTCGCGATCTGATCCAAGGTAGGTGGACGTGGATGTTGATGCTCCTGTTGAACGGGTCCTCCTGCTGGTGGTAGTGCCTCCGCAGGGGTCGTAGGGGTTGCAAGTGCGTGAACCTCAGGGCCGTCGTCGCCATCCATTTGATTTAGTGGGCTGAATAGGCGTCGGCGCAGAATGCTCTCCCTCCCGACTCCTACTGGCGTACCTGGAGCGCGGGTGTGCGCACGTGGAGGGCCATCACGCTCGGCGGCCGATGGAGAAGAGCTCGAAGCCATGACCATTGGAAGAGGCAGCAAAAGTGTGGAAGAAAAGATGTGGAGGTGGGAAGTGTAGGTATGTAGGAAGCGAACGTAGCGGCACACTTGATTGTACGGCCGCGGCTTGAGCCAGCTTGAGCCAAAATGGCTACGGAAGAGGACGAGGACGAAGGAGGAAGAAGAGGAGGAAGAGGAGGAAGAGGACGAGGAAAAGTGGAGGAGGATGAGGGAGGAGGAGGAGGAGGAGGAGGAGGAGGAGGAGGAGAAGGAGGAGGAGGAGGAGGGTAGAGGGACTGGGGGGAGGAGGGAGGAGGGAGGAGGGAGGAGGGGGAGAGAGGGAGGAGAAGAAGAAGTAGGAGGGAGAGGAGGAGGAGGGAAAGGGGGGAGAGAGGAGGGGGAGGGAGGGAGGAGGAGGAGGAGGATGAGGGAAGAGGAGGAAGAAGACGTGGAGGAGTGGGAGGGGGACGAGTTCCAGGCGGAGGAGGCCGATGCCCCCCTCCCTGGAGGAGGAGAAGAGGGGGAGGCTGATGAGGAATAGGAGGAGGAGGAGTGCCTCGCACTGTTGGAGGATGAAGATGAAGATGAACATGAAGATAAAGGTGACAATGAATCTACATATAATGATGGTGATGATGACACGACGATGCTGATGGTGATGATGATGATGGTGATGATGATGATGGTGATGATGATATTTGTGATGGTAGTGGTTGGTTGGGATGGCGTGCGCAGGAAGATGAAAATGAGAAGCCAGGGAAGATGACTGAGTGGAGGAGGAGGATGGAGCGGAGGGTGTTGAAACATATTTGGAGGAGGAGGAGGAAGAATATGAAGAGAGGGTGGAGAGATGACGGATCATGGGCAAAATAAGGAGGAGGCGGACGAGGAAGGGGAGCCGATGGGGCAGGGGTCTTGAAGGGGCTCCAAATCATTTGGAGTCGATTGGGGGTCCCTGTAGCTTGTCGTCGTCGTTGTCGTCGTTTATTTTTGTTCATTTTTGAACTTCGAGGTTCCAGGAGGTGTTTATGCGTTGTAGGCCTGTGGAGGCAGTTGTGGGGCCTTGGAACTCTGAAACATTGATCCAGCACGGAAAGCTGCGCTGGATGGACCCAGGAGGGGGTCCAGGGACCGATGTTGAACGGATTTGGTCGATTTCGAAGGATGCGGCACCCACGTGGAGGTTCGATTCTGGATCCTCGAAGATCGAGGTGCGAGGCTCTGTCCTCGAGGGCCCTCCTCGTCGCCACGGGGGATCCGGGGGACCGGCTGTGAGATGAGGGGGGGGGAAGAGGAGGACGAGGAGGAGGAGGAGGAGGACGACGAGCAGGAGGAGGAGGAGGAGGAGGAGGAGGAGGAGGAGGAGGAGGCTGATGATGATGATGATGATGATGATGATGATGATGATGATGATGATGATGATGATGATGATGATGATGATGATGATGATGATGACGATGACGGTGACGTTTACGATTATGTAGTGGCCTTCGGCCAATGCCGCCACCGTGCCTGGGTGGTGTCGGATGGCTCTTCAGTGCTCGTTGGGATCTCGTGGTAGGTCTCTCGGGGGCCTCATTGGTACACTTTAGAGGCATCCTGGGGGCCGTTGTGGGGACCCTCGGGGCTTCTTTTGGGCCTCTTGGGGGTCTCTTCTGGGCCTCTTGGGTCCTGCTAGGAGCCTCTTGGGGGCCTCTTGGGACCTCTTGGGACCCTCTTGGGGGCCTCTTTGGGGGCCTCTTGGGGCCTCTTGGGACTCGAAATTTCCGTTCGGGTTCCCCGTCTGGCTCCCCTCGTCGAGCCGTCTTGAGAGCCTCTGGGGCCGTCTTGGGGGTTTCTTGGGCAGTCTTGGGGCTCTCCCGGGCCGTCTTGAGGCCATTTTGGGAGCCTCTGGGGCCGTCTTCGGGCGATCTTGGGGGGCCTCTGGGGCCGTCTTGGAGCCTCGGGAAGCTGAAAAGGCGGGAAGGTCAGAATCCTTCCAAAACCAATTGCTGATTTTGGCCTCTAAGGGTCCTCTTCGGGGGGCTCTTGGAGGCTTCTTGGAGCATCTCGGCGGCCTCTTGGGCCGTCTGGAGGTCATCTTCGGCGTCTTGGAGCGCATTTTGGGCGTCTCGGGGGCTTTGGGGCGGTCTTGGGGGGTCTTGGGGCCCTCTTGGCCCGTCTTGGGGCCCTCGTGGGCCCAGGAAAAGCTCCCCCTGGAAAGCGCACCACAACTCATCCCCCCCCCTTCCCTCCCCTTCCCCCGCAGAGCCCCCCCGCCCCCCCCCCCAGCAAAGCTGAAGCTCAGGCTCGAGGCTGTAGGCTGTAGCTGAGATTTTTTCAAAGTCACACTCCAGATCGGCGGATCTGATCTTAGGCTACTCGATTACTCGGTATTTTTGTTTTCGGAGACCGCTCAAGAGTCCCAGGGCATCACACCAAAACGAGCCAAAAGGGCATCAAGAACATCGACTAGAGCCTGGAGGCGGCCCAACGGGGCCCCAAGAAGGCCCGAAGAAGGATCATGGCCAGGAGTGTGGGCATGAGAAACAGAAGGTGGAGAAAGCAGAGCAATGGGGCAGGCGGGAACACGGGAAGCGGGCGGATACGGGGAGGAAGGGGGGAAGACGAACGAGCATCGAGCATGGAGAGAAGTGGGAGGAAAAGGGTAAGAAGCATGAGGATGAGAAGGGAGCTCTGTCCTCGTACCCCTTTTCCTCCTCCTCCTCCTCCTGCTCCTCCTCCTCCTCCTCCTTCTCCTCCTCCTCCCCCTCCCCCTCCCCCTCCCCCTCCCCCTCCTTCTCCTCTCCCTTCTACCGGAGACGATGCCGCTGGAGCACGCGGGGGAGGAGGAGGCGGGGGAGGAAGAGGAGGAGGAGAAGGAGGCTGACGATGAGGACGACAGACGGCAGGCGGCGACGAGAAGAATGACGTGGACGAAGACGAAGACGACGAAAGGGATGCGTAGGGGGTGATGTCCTCGCCGCCTCCGCCGCCGGCGCGGCCGTCGGATGAGGGGGATGATGACGAGGACGACGTCGCCGAGGAGGGCGACCAGCACGAGAGGCTCACGCTCTGACCTTCTCCTCCCCCCTCATCCTCTTCTTCTTCTTCTTATTCTTCTTCTTCTTCTTCTTCTTCCTCCTCCTCCTCCTCCTCCTCCTCCTCCTCTCCCCCTCCTCCTCCTCCTCCTCCTCCTCCTCCTCCTCCTCCTCCTCCTCCTCCTCCTCCTCCTCCTCCTCCTCCTCCTCCTCCTCCTCCTCCTCCTCCTCCTCCCCCGCGGCGCGCCATTCCCGCCAGGGCGCCGCGGCTGCGGCCCGCGCCCGACCCCACGGCGGAGTTCCGGCTGCTGGCGCCCGCGGGGTGGCCTAACCGCCAGCGACCATCCGCCGCCACTCGGAGGGCGACGGGCGGCGGCGCGGAGAGCGGCGGCGTCATCGCCGTCTGCCGCCCGTCGCCCCAGCAGTTCCTCGCCCTCTCCATGCCTCCTTTCCCATGGCTCTCCTGCATCAGCAGCATCATCATCATCATCATCATCATCATCATCATCATCATCATCATCATCATCATCATCATCATCAGCAGCAGCAGCAGCAGCATCATCAGCATCAGCATCAGCATCAGCATCAGCATCAGCAGCATCATCACCATGATCATTATCGTCATCAGCATCAGCATCAGCAGCATCATCGTCATCATCAGCATCATCACCAACATCATCAGCATCATCATTGTTTTTGTCATCATTACCATAACCAGAATCATAAGCATAAACATTTACAGCATCATAACCATAATCGTAATAACCATCAGCATCACCATCATCAGCATCATCATTAACATCGTCATCATCAGCATCATCACCAGCAGCATCATGCTCATCATCCGCATCATCATCATCATCATCATCATCATCATCATCATCACCATCATCATCATCATCATCACCATCATCATCATCATCATATCAGCCAGCGTTGACTCCAAATATATAGGAGGACACGAGGAGGACGAGAGGAGGATGGGAGGAGAACGAAAGGAAGACGGGAGCAGGTCGGGAGGAGGACGGGAGGAGCAAAATCAAGCAAGCGGAAGCAAGCAAGCGCAAGCGAGCAATGACCAGCAAGCAAGAGCCAGCGATCAAGTACAAGCAAGCAAGGGCAAGCAAGAGCAAGCAAGCGAGAGAAAGCACGCAAGAGCAAGAAAGCAAGTGCAAGTGAGTGTGTGTGATGCGGGGGGGTAGGGGGGCAACGGACTAATTAGTAGGGTTTGAGTTAGAACTCCAATAGGGCAAGCCTATTTGGAGAACCAGCATCATCATCATCATCATCATCATCATCATCATCATCATCATCATCATCATCTTTATCTTCATCTTCATCTTCATCTTCATCTTCATCTTCATCATCGCCATAAGCATGTTCATCATCATCATCATCATCATCATCACAATCATCATCATGTCCATCATTACCATCATCATCATCATATTCATTGTCGTAAGCCTCCTTATCATCCTCCTCATCATCATCATCATCATCATGCTCATCATCAACATCATCATTGTCGTTCTCAATCATCATCAGCACCATCAGCATCATCGTAATCCTCCTCCTCATCCTTATCCTCCTCCTCCTCCTCATCATCATCACCTTCAGCATGTTCATCATCCTTATCCTCCTCATCATCATCGTCATCATCATCATCATCATCACAATCACAATCATCATCATGTCCATCATTATCATCATCATCTTCATTGTCGGAAGCATCCGTCTCCTCATCATCATCATCATCATCATCATCATCATCATCATCATCATCATCATCATCATCATGTTCATCATTCTCATCATCATCATCATCATCAGCACCATCAGCATCATCATAATCCTCCTCCTCCTCCTCATCCACATCATCATCATCATCATCATCATCATCATCATCATCATCATCATCATCATCATCATCATCGTCCCCCATGCCTCCCCTGCACCGCTGCACAGGGTCGCACGGGTCCAGGACGAGGTCAGATCCGTTCCAGAGCGTGCCGGAGCGCTGTCGGAGCGCTCCAGCACGCTCTGAGGAGGCCGCGGCGCCCGATGCATCCTCCAGAGTCGCCGGATCTCAGAGGTTCTCGATTTGCCCTCCCTCGGATGTATCCCAGAGGCTTACGCAATTCCGCCGACCCCCAAAAGAGGGAAGAAGTCCACTGTGAGGCTTTGGGGGGCCTTGTGGAGACCGTTTGGGAGCCTCTGGGGGGCTCCTTTGGGCCTCTTGGGCGCGATTTGCCGCGATCGGCCCTCACTCGAATTTACCCTCGTTCTGGCTTCGTCTTACAGGCGCGGCGCTGGCCACCCCGTGCGCCCCTCGCGGCCCTCCTGCAGGGAGGGAGCAGGAGGGGAAGGGAGGGAGGCGGTGAGTGAGGGAGGGATGCCTCCGCTCTAGGGCCAGCCACTGCTGAGCGGTGTGCCGGTCCTTGGGTTGGCGGACCGCACCGGCTCCCGACGAACGTGCTCGGGTGCTCAGGCGGACGCGTACGCCGCCGGGAGCTACTTAGGGAGAGAGGGAGGGAGGCAGGGAGGGAGGCAGGGAGGCAGGGAGGCGAGGAGAGAGGCAGGGAGGGAGGAAGGGAGGGACGAACGGAGGGAGGAGGAGGCGCAGCGACGACGGCGAGGAGCGAAGGTGTGGGCCCCTGGGCCTCCGAGGTGCTCCCGCCCGCCGCGCTCGCAGACCTCGCCGCCTTCGAGCCCGCAGCGGCCGGCAAGGCGGTCCTCCGCCGCCGCCGGCCTGCCTTGGCGCTTCCGTGGCCGCTGCCGCTGCTGGTGCTTTTGCCGCGATTGCCTCTGCAGGGCCCAGGTCGATCCGATCCATCCGGCTCACATGTCGACGCTGGCCAGCCTGGTCGGACTCACCTCCGAGGGTCCGAGGCTCCGGTGCGGCCTGATGCTTGCGCGGCGCTGCTGTGCATCCCGGCGCGGCCGATTCGATTTCGGTTCCATGCCGATGCAGCCCGATTCGACGTGCAGTTCGATCCGATGCGATTTCCCGACTCGATGCTGACTGATCTTGCGCTGCAGTTGTTGCCCCGGTCTGGTTGGTGCCGTTGCCGCTGCCGATCTGAGTGCTGCGACCGGCGGCGCTACCGCGGCTGCAACTGCCGCTGCTTCTGCCGCCGCCGACCGAGGTGCGGCGCGGGCCTGGAGCCTGCGTGGGCCTGTGGGGGTCTCCAGGGGCCTCTCCCTGGGGCCTGCAGGGACCTCCTGGAGACCAGCGGGGACACTGCCGCTTCCCCTCGTCCTCGTCGCCCTCCGCATCCCCGTGCTCCTCCTCGTCCTCCTCGTCGTCGTCCGCCGCGGCCGCAGGGCTGAGGGCTGATGGGTACCACAATGAAGGGCGCAGTCGTCTAGCCTCCGCCTCCTCTTCCCCCTCCTCCTCCTCCTCCTCCTCCTCCTCCTCCTCCTCCTCCTCCTCCTCCTCCTCCTCCTCCTCCTCCTCCTCTCCTCCTCCTCCAGCTCCTCCTCATTCTTCTCCTCCTCCCCGTCCTCCTCCTCCTCCTCCTCCTCCTCCTCCTCCTCGTCTGATCGGGGAGGCTTTGTGGCATGGATGACCCGTAAGAGCATGTCGTCTCTCGTCCTCCTCCAGATGAGCAGGGAACTCTGCAGAAGCTGAGGTTCCGAGCGCAGCGGTGGCCAGGAAGAGCGGCCCAGCGGACGGCAAGAGACGCTACGCGCGCGCACGTCAGTGAAATTAAAGTCTTCCAAGAGCCGACCACAGCGCTGCTTAGCTTGGTTTGGGTCTTTGTGCTGTTTTGTTTCGTTTCGTTGTTCGTTGTTGTTCCGTTTCGGTGTTAGTAGTCGTTTTAAACGTCCAATGCTGTCGTTATTTTTGTTGTTGTTGCTGTTGCTGTTGCTGTTGTCGTTGTCCTTGTCGCTGTGTTCGTTGTTGTCGTTGTTGTTGTTGTTGTTGTTGTGGTTGTTGTTGTGGTTGTGGTTGTGGTTGTTGTTGTTGTTGTCGTTGTTGGTGTTGTTGTTGCTGTTGTTGTTGTTGTTGTTGGTGTTGTTGTTGTTGTTGTTGTTGTTGTTGTTGTTGTTGTTGTTGTTGTTGTTGTTGTCGTTGTCGTTGTCGTTGTCGTTGTTGTTATTGTTGTTGTAATTTGGTACCAGCGTCGTTTTCAACGTTCGTTTCAAATGTTGGACGTCGTTGCATCGTTTGTCGTGCACGCCATTTTGTTTCAGACATCCTTGTAGTCGGTCCTTCAAGTCCTCTCTCGTTCCCTCCCGCCAGGAGCGCAGCTCCTGCTGCTCGTTCGCCTCCGCGGACGGCGTCTGCAGCACGGCCGAGCCCCAGAGCGACCAGGCCTGCGGCGGCGAAGACGTCGTCGTCCTCCTCCTCCTCCCCCTCCTCCTCCTCCTCCTCCTCCTCCTCGTCCTCCTACTCGTCCTTGTCGTCCTTCCTCTCGTCCTCCTCCCCCCCCTCCTCCTCCTCCTCTCCTCCTCCTCGTCCTCCCTCCTCCTCCTCCTCCTCCCTCCTCCTCCTCCAGCTCCTCCTCATTCTTCTCCTCCTCCCCGTCCTCCTCCTCCTCCTCCTCCTCTTCCTCTTTCTACTCGTCCTCCTCGTCCTCCTCCTCCTCCTCCTCCTCCTTTCACGTTGACCAAACCCGAATCCTACGATTGTGGCGTTCTTGAGTGAAACATAGAGTGCGACTCTGGTCAAGATGTACCTGGCGGGCGCCGCGGAAAATGAGATAATACATGTCGAGGCCAAGAACAGTAAGAAGAGTAGGCGCCCGCCAGGGCTTCGAGGGAGGCACTGACAAGTATCCCCAGTAAGGATAACCGATAACCCTCCTTTTCTAGGTCGTGCCTCCTCGGGTGGCAAGTAAGTAAAAGAGTGCAAGGGCAACGCATAGACTGGCAGTTCTAGGGTTGCTGCCCAGGGTTTAGGTTAGCCCCAAACCGTATGCAATTCCTCCCCAGCTACCCTGACCTGGTAACCCCACCTGACCCATCCCTTATTTCAGAGCATGTGCCACCTATGCATGCTGCCACTGTGAGCAAATGAAAAACAGGCTGTTCCCAGCAAGCTTGATACGAGAGGTAAGGCTGGGTGGGGGGCAATGGAGGGGCTGTGCGTGTAAAAAAGTTGCGTCTGATGATTGCCAAAAAGGTGTTTCCTCCTCCGCCACCTCTGCTTGGGCACCAGTTGGACGCAGCTTGTACCTTGTAACAAGCAGAAAAACGCAGTGGGCACACATTGCTGCATGGGCACGTGCTACTGCTAGGCTGGCTTGTGAGGCTGGCCGGATGAGGTGCCAGTAGCTGCATGTACCGTGATGTAGTTAGTCAACCAGCTCGGAGAAATGCGTGCTTGCTTGTAGGCTGAGGTGGGAGCATCTGCACTGATAAGCCTGAAGGTACAGGCTTATGAGTCCTCCTTCGCCACCACCATTGACCCTTATCCCAAACCTCCGCAGTCAATTAAGCTGTCTTGCAGCATAGAAGGCGTTAAATTATGGCAGTTTTAGGGTTGCCGCCCAGGTTTTTTTGGGTATACCCCTAACCGCATCAATACTGGGACCCTCGCGCTTTGTGTGTGTGTGTGTGATTCTGTTCGGGTTTAGCAGGAACCCAACAGTCAAGCTCGACAGATTTGTGATAGGTGTCGCAGGCTGGCCTTTTGAGGCTGGCCTTTGGGGTAAAGGAGCTCTAGATGTGGTTGGGCGCTGCTAAGACGTCATACGTGGGCAGGCGGCTCACGTAACGCCCAGTTCAGCAAAACAAATGATGTGGGTTTGCTGCCTGACTGTTGCGAAATAGTAAGCAGTCCTGCTGAGGAGCTGCTAGTACACGGGTTGGGCGCAGGCGCCGGCGCCGTGTGTGTGGGGGGGAGGGTTTTGGACCCCCCCCTTTGGGAGGGGGGGGGAGGTTTCGGGAGGAGGGGGGGGTTAGGGGGGAGGGGAGCCCCCCTGGTTCTGATCGACGGCGCCGAGTGTTAGGGGAGGGCCCTTCCCCCAGTTCGAGACGCGCCGCCGAATGTTCCCAAGGCAAGCGCCCGTGAAACGCGCTCTCTCTTACATCATCACCTCCCCCTTTTTCCTCTTGCCGCGCATGTGATAATCACCTCGCACTTTTTCCCTGATCTCAGATTCTAGGTATGTGCTTCCGACTGTACTATTTTCATATCATGCAACATCATGCATGTTGTTGTGCTATATATATATATATATATATATATCCGTAAGGGCTTCGCCCTCTGCCGCCGGCCCCCTCTCTCGGAGGATGGGCCATGGAAGAGCGAAGTCATGAGGCTTTGGCTTTTGCCGTGAAGCAGTGTCGGGACCTATTTGTTTTTCGACCCTGACCCTGCCGATCTGCGTGACGGGTGCCGCCGAATTTCAGACATGTGGCAAATCCTTTCTGTTTTTGGACCCTGACCCTACGGATCTGCGTGAGCGGTGCCACCGAATTTCAGAAATGTGTCAAATCGCATGTGTTTTTGGACCCTGACCCCGCCGATCTGCGTGAGGGGTGCCATCGAATTTCAGAAATGTGGCAAATCCCTTGTGTTTTTGGACCCTGACCCCGCCGATCTGCGTGAGGGGTGTAAATTTTTACTTCCCCAGGAATTCTGAGAACCCTCCCGGGGGATGCAAACCAGAACGGTTTTCGGCTCGCGCGGACAGTAACAATTTACAGTAGGAAGCAGACAGCAGTACTGTAACAATGGAAACTGGAAACTGGAACTGGCGCAGGGAGCAGCAAGCTTAATCCTCGCAGCCTGATGGCCCCGCAAGGGGGCCGGCGGATATATCCCTCTCTGCTAGCAGCTCCTGTCTCATCTCTCATGTGTCTCTCTTCTGAGTATGTTCCATTCCTCTCCTTTTCTCCCCTCTTTCCTCAGACGATCATCTCCACTCATCTCGTTTCATATACACCCCTCTCGCCCTCTCGCCTCTCCTGTCCTGCCACGTATAGTTCCTCTCCTCTTCCGCTCCTGTTCTTTATATTTTGCGCGAGGAAGACATCGATTCTCCCGGACTCCGCGACGCATTGCTCGGCGATGCGCTGCAGGAGCAGGGAGAGGTGGTGGGTTGCATGGCTTCTTCCTCCTTGTGTGGAGGCAGCTGGGAGTACGGGGGGGAGTGGGGGAGTGAGGGAGCGGGAGAGAGGGAGGGGACAGAGGATGGCATGGCGCCGAAGGTCATGACAGGGTGGGACAGGGGAAGGAGGGGATATATGAAATTCGAGCAGGAGCAGGGGGAGGAGGAGGAGGAGGAGGAGGAGGAGGAGGTGGAGGAGGAGGAGGAAGAGGAAGAGGAGGAGGAGTTGGAGGAGAGGGAGGAGGAGAAGGAGCAGGAGGAGGAGGAGGAGCTGGAGGAGGAGCTGGAGAAGGAGGAGCAGGAGGAGGAAGAGGAGGAGGAGGAGGAGTAGCAGCTGAAGGAGGAGGAGGAGGAGGAGGATTAAGAGGAGGATCTGAAGGAGGAGATGGAGGAGGAGGAGGTGGCGGAATGATGGAGGAGCAAGAGGAGGAGGAGGAGGATCAGCGAGAGGCGGCGGAGGCGGAGGAGGGGAGGAGGGAAGAATAAGAGGAATAGGAAAGAGGAGGGATATCAAACACAGTAGGAGGGGAGAGGGCAGGGAGGAAGCATGGAGTATGAAGGAAGAGGACGAGGAGGATGAGGACGACGACGAGGCGGATGCGGACGAGGACGACAAATACGAGGAAGTAGGTGGAGAGTACGGAGACGAGGGGGAGAGGACAGAAGAGGGGGGAGGGGGAGGAGACTGGAGACGACCTCAATCCGAAGATTGCTCAGCGCGACGGCCGAGGCGCCACTGACGGGAGGGTCGTCCACTCCAGTCAGCGGCAGGTGAGCAGGAGGCCCACCACCACAGGCCCAAGAGGGCCCACTACCAAGGCCCCAAAGGGGCCAGACCCAGCAGACCAGGAGGGACCACTCGCGACCAGACCAGGAGGCCCCAGGACCCCCGCTGACAGAAGCAGACCGCCCCCCCCGCGACCTCCTTAGGTGTCCGAGCATTCCTCGACGAGGTCCTCGACGAGGTGCTGCTTCACCCACGCCTCGAGACCCCGCGCGGTCGACACAGTTTGATGCCGTGCTCCCGCTTGAGGGCATCGAGCTCGGCGTCGTCCATGAACCGCAACGCCTGCAGGACCTTGGCGGGGTCCGTCTTGCCCTTCGCGTCGCCTCCCTCCAGACCGCCGTCGCTCTCGTCGACGTTGGTCCTGGAGCTCTGGCTCTTCTGCCTGTCCTTCTTCGTGTTCTTGGCCTTCTTGGGCCGGGAGCACTTCTGGAGGAGTCGCCCGCAGCGCCGCGGGCACTAAGCTGCGACGCCCTCTCGATGTCCGTGCCGATGTAGACTCCTCCGCGCCAGCTGCAGACGGTTCCGATCCAGCGTCACCAGCGCGGCAGTGATCAGACCAATGAGCATTTGCAGCACCGCGTGGTACTTCAGATGAATATGCCACATCCGCTCCTTCTGGAGGCCTGCCTTCAGCACCTCCATCTTTGCAGAGCTCCGTGTGAAGCACACCAGCAGCACCGCGTAGATCTTGAGCATCTCGAAGTCCTGCACCAGAGTCCTCCATCGGGCTGAGGTTGAGCCACCTCCTGAACTCCAGCTGCACCAATACCACCCTGAACTTTGCATGGATGGGCCAACACATGCCAAAATGGTGCCAGCTCCATCAGCACGATCACCACCTTGAACTTTGCAACAATGGGCCAAAACAGTGATACCTTCAAATGAGGTTCAGCAGCAGCACGACCACCATCTTGAACAATGCCAGGATGAGTCAAAACAGTGCTGGTTGCCGACGCTCCTTCGACTACTTCGCCGGCCAGCGATTGTTGCGGGTACGATTTTTTGAGGGTGGACGATGGACAGGGACGGATGATGAGGGATGAGGAAAGTACATGGGGGAGTGAGGGGTGGGGTAATGGTGATGATGGTGATGCTGATGAGGATAATAGTGATTGTGATGATGATGATGGTGGTTGTGATGATGATCCTGTTGATGATGATGAGGATGATGACGAGGACGAGGATGATGATGCTGAAGGTGATGATGCTGGTGATAGTGGTGGTGATGGTGATGGTCATGATGATGATGCCGATGATGATGGTGATGATGACGATGATGATGATGATGAGGATCATACTGCTGATGATGGTGGTGGTGGTAGTGAGGATGACGACGACGGTGACGATGATGATAATGATGATGATGACGATGATAATGACGATGACGATGATGATGATGATGATGATGATGATGATGATGGTACTGATACTGATGATGATGATGATGATGCTGATGATGATGCTGAGTATGATGATGATGCTGCTGATGATGATGATGATGATGATGGCGATGATGATGATGCTGCTGGTGAGGATGCTGATGCCGACGATGACGACGATGACAGTAGTGGTCATACTGACGATGGTGACGATGATGATGGTGATGATGATGATGGTGATGATGATGAACATGATGATGATGATGATGATGATGATGATGATGATGATGATGATGATGATGGTGGTGGTGATGGTGACGGTGAGGATTAGGATGAGGATGAGGATGAGGGTGATGATGATGATGATGCTGATGATGGTGGTGGTGGCTGTGGCGATGGTGGTGATGGTCATGGTGATGGTGATGGTGATGGTGCTGATGATGACGATGATGTAGATGATGATGATGCTGATGATGATGATGATGACGATGATGATGATGATGATGATGATGATGATGATGATGATGATGATGATGATGATGGTGCTGCTGCTGCTGATGATTATGATGATGATGATGATGATGACGAGGAGGAGGAGGAGGTAAACTGGGGCGCATGCTCCTGGACGACCCTCGCTCCCCAGAAATATGAGCTCCAAGGATGGTGTATTTTCCAGCCAACCCAAATTACATGGGGCATATGTATTAACCTTTCCGCATGCCCGCTGCCCAGAATGGGTTAATTCAAATATCATCGCAACCATCTATTCCCATGCAACATTGGCCAGGGGTGGGCACAATACACAGCACAAGTGGGTGAACGGCGAATTGCGCTCCCGAAGCTGGCGGCGGCCCCCAGGGTGGGTCAGCTCGTAACAAAAAGCGATGTCCGTCATTCATGTTCGCCAGGCGGAGCGCGTCAGAAAAGCGAGCCCCCCACACGCACAGAAATTCTACAGCACCAACAAAGAACACCAACAGATATCGCAAACAACGCGACACGCCTTTAAACTCATGTAATGCGTTGAAACACACGGGGCACCACCAATCAGCATCGGCGAGGCATAGTTCGAGAGAGGGAGGGGTAAAGAGAGGGGGAGAGAGAGAGAGAGAGAGAGAGCTATAGCGAGATATAGGGAGAGCGGGCGAGGTAGGGAGGGAGAGAGAAAGAGAGAGAGGGAGAGAAAGAGAGAGAGAGAGAGAGTGAGACAGACAGAGAGAGTTAGAGAGGCAGAGAGAGAGAGACCCCCTCAAACAAAAGTAACCAAACAAAGAATACGAGAGCCCACACTCCGAACTAGAAGCGGCAACCTACTACACACGTATCAGAGAAAGGTAACACATTTACGTCAACAGTGAAAGTTGCTCTCTTGCCCTGCCAGGCCATCCTACACCCTTGCCCTCCTCCACCTACACACATTGCACGACAACATCTGGTGTCACACGTCTGACAAAGCATGTGGGTGATACGTGCCACCCCGAAAACTGAATGCGAAACGCAAGTTGTGCCTCTTGTACTCTGGTCATCAACATGGGGCTGCACAGGGTGAAAAAGGGACTGGGGTGACATACCATATCGAAACCTGCATGGGAAGAATGGTTCACTTGTAAGCCCACCATGGCGACGTAAATAATGACAGCGCACGGGGGTGACGCGTGTCACCCCAAACAACTGCGTGTGAACAACAAATTGTCTGCTTCACTTATAGATTGGCCGTTAACACTGGATTCCACAATTTGACAAGGCACAGGGGTGACACGTGTCACCCCGAGAAGCGTGTAAGACAAAACAGGGATGGCACTTGTAACCTGATCGCCAGCATGCATTTACGCATGGTGAAACGCCACAACGGTGACACGTGCACGTGCCTGTCCGGAAGCCGTGTGAAAGTAGCCAATTGTTCCATTAGTACCCCAAGCGTCAAAATCAGGCTATACAGCGTGAACAAGAGAGGCATAGCATGTGCCGCCCCAAAAACTGCGTGAGAGAAACGAACCGTTTCGCTTGTAACCTAGGCGTCAGCATGGGGTCATAAAGTGTGAAAAAACGGCACAGGGGTGACACGCGTCACCCTTTAAAGGTAAATGAGACAAACCAATTGTGTCACTTGCATTCGGGACGTCAGCATTGGGGTGCACATTGGGAAAAGGCAAGCGGGTGACACATGTCATTTCGAAAACTGCGTGACAACAAGGAACTGTTTCACTTATATGCTGGGCGTCAACATGGGGCCATGCATTCCAAGTCAGATAGCACAGGAGTGACACATGTCACCCCGAAGACTGTGTGAGAACGCAGGGCGTGGGGGCAGCGAAGTCCACTGACGATTCGTCATGATTCATAGTGATCCGACATGGTCACCAAGTGGCGCCCAGTGACGATCCATCAAACAGTCGGCGGTCGGTGGCGGCGGGTGGGTGAGTGCGGAAATTGTATGCTCAGTGCCAGCGTTTCCTGTTTTTGTTGTTCTGCTGGGGAAGTGGGGAGTGTGTGTGTGTGTGTGTGAAAAATGCAACGGTGCGCGTTTTCCCCAGGAGGGGCACCAGCCACAAGGTGAGTGGGTACAAAATAGCCATCGGAACATTCGCCTGGATTTCGCCCAGGGGAAGGCTAGGGGGGGGACGAAATCCCACTTGCCTCTCTTATGACGAGGAGGAGGGGGAGGAGAAGGAGGACCAGCGTAAACCCAAGACTCATCAACGATGTTGGAATACACCATCTCTCCAAGATCCCTTTTTCACAGGCCCCTACGAGAGGTCATTTCCAATGAAGGAAGTGCCTAGTTGGGGGACAACCGTGTGAACATCTTGATGCGCGCCGGAGCACCGTTCTCAGGACCTCAACGCCACTTAACGTTTGGGTGATCATGAATCGTGCCAGAAGATCGTTCTTGGAATCTCAACATCGCGAATCAACGTAACTGTTGCGCCCTGACAGTCCTGAATCGCTCCCAAACCCGCTTCAGGGCACGTTAACGATGAGAATCAGTGAGACGTTTGCAAATGTTCACAGCGCGTGTGCGCGGCGCTGAGGCGAGAGACGCATTTTGAAAGGCACCCGCCCTCGATCCGTGAAGTCCTTGTAATTTGTTTTTAACGAACGCGCGCGGCGCTTAGGCGCGAGCCACATTTTGAAAACCACCCGCCCTGAATCCGTGAAGCTTTTGCAACGTTTTAAGCGAATGTGCGCGGCGCCGAGGCGAGAGCCACATTTTGAAAACCACCTGCGTTCAATGCGTGAAGCTTTTTCAGATTTGTAGAACGAATGTGCGCGGCGTTGAGGCGAGAGCCACATTTGGAAAACTACCCGTCCTCAATCCATGAAGCTCTTGCATATTTGTAAAACGAATGTGCGCGGCGATGAGGCAAGAGCCACATTTTGAAAACCACCCACCCTCAATCTGTGAAGCCTTCTCAGATATTTAAAACGAATTCGCGCGGCTCTAACGCGAGAACCACATTTTGAAAACCACTTGCCGTCTGTCCGTGAAACCCTTGCAAACTTGTGAAACGAATGTGCGCGACGCTACGGCGAGAGCCGCATTTTGAAACCACTCGCCCTGAAACCGTAAAGGTCTTGCGATTTGTTTGAAAGAATGTGCGCGGCTCTAAGGCGAGAGGCACATTTTGAAAGCTGCCCGCCCTCCATCTGCGAAGCTGTTGCCAAAATCCCAGCATCAGGTTCACAAGTGGTGAGGAAGTCTGAAGCGAAACGCCCGGACCGCCCTTGCGACCGGTCTCGGGGAAAGAAAAGGAATGGAGGAAGAGGAGGGGGAGGCACAGTTGGTGGCTAAGCGGAATGGGGAGGGCGAGAGATGGACGAAGTGGATGGGGGGAGTGAGGAGGGCGAGGGGGAGAGGCAGCAGAGCGAGGCTGAAGGGGAAAAGGCGGCGGTGGCGGCGGTGGAACTTGAACCTGTGGAGGAGAAGGAGGAATAGGAGGAATAAGTAGCTTACTCATGAAAAAGAAGAGCAGGACGGGGAGGAGGAAGAGGAAGAGGAGCAGGAGGAGGGGATGAATATGATGACGATGATGATGATGACTATGTTGATGATGCTGATGATGCTGCTGGTGATGGTGATGGTGATGATGATGCCGCTACTCATGATGATGATGATGATGATGATGATGATGATGATGATGATGATGATGATGATGATGATGATGACGATGATGATGATGATGATGATGGTGATGGTGATGGTGATAGTGATGGTGATGGTGGTGATGACAATGATGATGATGATGATGATGATGAGGATGATGATGATGATGACGATGATGATGATGATGATGATGATGATGATGATGATGATGATGATGATGATGATGATGATGATGATGATGATGATGATGATGATGATGGTGATGGTGATGGTGATGGTGATGGTGATGGTGATGGTGATGCTGCTGATGATGATGATTATGGTGGTAATGGTGGTGGTGATGACGATGATGGTGGTGGCGATGATGATTCTGATTATGATGGTGGTGTTGATAATGATGATGATGATGATGATGAGGAGGAGGAGGAGGAGGAGGAGGAGGAGGACGACGACGACGACTTCGATGAAGATGATGATGACGACGAGGAGTTGAGGGAAGTGGAGGAGCAGGAAGAGGAGGAAGATAAAGGCCCCCCCTCCTTTCACTCTCTCGATTTTGATACCGCCCAATCCTTTCTCCTCTTGCCGCTCCTCCCCCTCCCTCCCTCACTCCTTCCCTCCCTCTCCCTCTCCCATAATTGCCTCACCCCCCTCCTGATCCTCGTCGTCGTCGTCGTCGTCCTCCTCCTCCTCCTTTTCCTTATCAGGATCCCTCCTCCTTCTCCTCGTGTCTCCTTTCTTCCCTTTCCCTCCTGCTTCCCCTCCATACGCCATGCGCTCCCCCTCCTTCCCCAACGACGACCTCGAAGACGTCATCTTCGTTTTCGTCGTCATTGAAGCCGTCGCTGTCGTCGTCATTGAAGTCGTCGAGGTACTTTTTGTCGTCGGAGCCGTCGTCATCGAAGAGCCTCTTCGTCTCAGTACTTTCTCGCCGAAGTACCCCGTCGGCATCGTCAACGTCATCGTCGTCGAAGTATTTCGGCGACGATGACGTTGACGGGAGGCGCACTTCCGGGAAGGTCAAGGGAGGGAGGGATGTTGCTATGCTCCGCCTTCCGATTGGGGGGAGGGGGGGGTAGCTTCCCAGGTGCCGAACGGGTGGGGGGGGGGCTGCTAAGTCCCTCACTCCCTTTGGAAGTAAAAGGGGGGGAGGAGGGGGGAACTTCCCTCAGAGGAGGGGCAAGGGGCCTCCCGTCAACGTCATCGTCGCGCAGGAGGCGCACTTCCGGGACGTCGAGGGCGCGCTGCTGCAGCGGGACCCTGCGGGCGCGGGGCGCCCCGACGACGACGGCCCCGGGGAGGAGCGGGCGCCGTCCTCGCCCCCCCTCGTTCTCCGAGGAGGAGCAGCAGGAGGAGGAGGAGGAGGAGGAGGAGGAGGAGGAGGAGGAGGAGGATGAGGAGGAGGAGGAGGAGGGGGGGAGGAGGAGGAGGAGGAGGGGGAGGAGGAGGAGGAGGAGGAGGAGGGGGAGAGGAGGAGGAAGGAGGAGGAGGAGAGGAGGAGGAGGAGGAGGAGGAGGAGGAGGAGGAGGAGGAGGAGGAGGAGGTGCGAGGAGGAGGAGATGGAGGAGGAGGTGCGAGGGGCGGCTCTCTTCCTCTTCGTTCGGCCCCCTCGTCGTCCAGGTCGTCGCTGTCCGAGGGAAGGCGTCTCGGCCCGTGGATGTTCGAGGCGCGGCTCTCTCTGTCCATGCACAGGGGTTCAGTAGTTCAGGAGGAGGAAGAGGCGGAAAGGAGGATCTTTCTTGGCATCGACGGCTCAGGACCCCAAGTTAATTGGGGCAGAAAGGGAAGGGCTCGATGGAGACCCCGTCCCTCTTCGGGTGGAGGTCTTTGCCAAGCCTTCCCCGAGTCGCGCATTTGCATGGGTAAGCGAGCGGCTGAGTGCGCGTTCAGTTTTGCGTCGCGCTCGCCAGACGCGGAAGTCCCTCAGCGCCGAGAGATGCACGCCGATGCCAAAAGGTGCGGGGCGGCCTGCCCACCAGGGTCTACTCATGCGGATCCGGTGGCGGGCCTGCCTCTTCTCGTTCTTCGCTCGCGAGCCAGACTTCTTCCAGGCACGCGCGCGGCCGGAGTGGCATCATTCTAGCAGAGAGCTCGACGACTACCCTCGACACCGCCACAAGGCGGTCAATGCGGCGGTGCTCTTCCGACGCATCTGGGTGCAAGGCGGCCCCAAGCTTGGCCGCTCTGGGCGCCCAGTCACTCCCTACTGCGCGGTGCGCTCCTGCGCGCCCAGCGAAAGGTCGAGCTCCCAGTGTTCAGCCACTTTGTCTACCCCCGAATCCATTCCGTCGGATGAGGCGTGCGCCCGGTGAAGCGAAACAGAACGCATGCGTTTGTGCGAGCATGTCCCAGGCCTAGCAAGTTTCCCCAGCTTCACTAGAGCATCGCAATCAGACTCAGACCGAACAGCATGCGATGAGAGGTGGGCGGCCGTAGAAGTTGGAGCCCGGAATTTGGCCCCCTGACAATTCAGAGGATAGCCAGGCGGCAGTGGGCCGCGCCGCATCGCGCGAAGCCTGCCGTCAGGCGACAAATTTCACTGTGCCCAACCCGCTCTGCAGAGCTCCTTGATGGGCGATTTCCGACGCGAGCCATCCAGGACACCGCCCCCGCCAGAACGCGCTCTGAGCCCGAGTGCACGGCAGCCATTAGATGCGTCTTGCTGAGAGGACTCCTCATCATAGCTAAGAAGTTTTAAGCTTACGCTGCGAAGACATCTTCCCTCCCGAGGGGTCTGGGCCAACAATCGCCAGGGCGTGACGACAGGCTGGTCCCAAGATGTAGTCGCTGCAAGTCCGCGAGGTCATCTCTTCTGGCGCGCTCCAAGATCTTCCGCGGTGCCAGCCCTTGCCTCTCCTCCTCGCTGCACTGGCCAATCCAGAGGCGATGGCGCATAGTGTGTCCTGGAAGCCCGCAAGGCGGACATATGTCATCGACCTGGCATCTCGCCTCCCTCGCTCGAGACAGCGGCCGCGCCCGTCGACGAGCTGCAACGCGAGTGCAGCCCTTGGCCAGGGCGGAGGAGTGCTTCTTGGATTCCACTGCGTCTAAGGTGATATCGAAGCAAAGCGTGGAGCCCGAACCGCACTTGCCCCCCGCTTCCCTCTCGAGCAGCCTGCGCGCACAGGCCTGGGTGATCTTCTCGAGGGGGGCGGGATGGGGCGCGGGCGAGGGGGCGATGGGGCCCCGAGATCGCCCATCACCCCATAAGGACATTCCACCATTCAACCTAACCTTGCCAGAGACAGACGCATCGCACCCTAGGGGCCCGCGATGCGCCTCCAGCAAGGGCAGGGGCCCTCGACGGCCTTCCGCCGAGACTCCCTCAGCAAAGCCAAAGAGAAAGCGCGCGGAGTGGCCGCCGCATGTCAGATCTTCGGGCCATATTTCTCGGCCAGGGCGCAAAATCGGGGCGGCCGTGCCGAGCAATGTCGGGTCGCCTTCAACCCTGAGAAGGTGGCGCGAGAAACGCTCGCCCGCAGAGGACTTCAAAGAGGGCCCAGCCACGCGCTTCGCCCTGAGCGCTCACCCCCAGGCGCGCCGCTGATCTCAACTGCGATGCAGAGCGGAATCGGCACCCGCGACGAAAATGTGATTCGCCATGTTGCCAAGAAAGGCCCCGCGACGGCCCAGACGCGCCGGGCGACGAGGGGCCTTGGCAGTTCTAGACTTCGCCTTGCGCCTCTTACCACGCGCTCTCTTGGATTCACCCCCGGCGTCGCCCGCCCCCTACTTCAGTCGCGACGCGGCAGAGCGAGGGGGCCAGCAAGCGACGGCGCGGCAAGAGCAAAGCGCGCGGCGCGGCGGGCAGGCAGCGGCGCGCGGGCGACGGCCAGCCAGCGCGCGCGCGCGATGGCGCGCGACCGAGCTCAAATCCCGAGCGCGGGATGCTCGCCCCATGAACCGCGAAGTGAAGCTCGTGCCTGCGCGGCGCCGCGGCTGGCGCTGGCCGCGCGCGGGGGGGCTCGGTCTTGTTGCATCGCCCGCGGCGCGCCGCGACGCGCGGGGGCAGCGCGGCGGCGCGGCGACTGATCGCGCCCGCGTCCGCCGCGTGGCCCCTGGCCAGTGAGTTCGTGCGATGGAACAGAGATCGAGCAGTTCGGCCCATGCGCGCGAAAAACAGAACGGCACCCGGGTCCAGGGAGGGCGAAGACGACCCGTCAGCTTCGGCGCCTGACGAGGCCGAAGGGAGGGGTTGCTGACTTCCCCTGCCAAAGACCTCCCGGGGGGCCCGCGTGCCCTAGACAGTCGGAGAGGCGCGGGCGGAGTCTCCCTCCGCAAGGGGCCACTGAAACGTGCGCGAAGCACTCAGCCATGCCGAGGCGATCTTTGGTTTTCTCGCTCTTCACCTCAATCCTGCAAAAGGCGCAGCGCCAGATCCTAGCGTTCGCAGGGGCCTGGAAGGAATGGCGCAGCTCCTCGGGAAGAAACTCAGCTGGCCCACTCGGGATCTGAAGCTTCAGCTTTTGAGGGCGTCGAAAAGGTTTCGACGCGCCCCGTGGACAGACGACGCAAGGGCGCCGTGGCGCGCCATTGCAAGGCCGCGCGAGTGGACTTCAGGGCCGCGTGCGTGGCCTTCGTAGCTCAGCGCGAATCCCTACGTGTCCCCGGCGGCGGCTAGGTCCGCCCACTTGTTGGACATGGCTTCGGTGGGGTGTCCAGACCAGCGGCCCCGAACATGCGGAACGCGAAGGGCCTCTCCATGGCCCCCACGATCATCGCTTGTTCGCCAGGTGGCTTGTCAGAGGTCGGCGTTGGGCCTGTGAGGCCCGCGCGCAAAGCTAAGGCCTAAGTCGAGGCCTTCAACCAGTCCGAGGAAATTCGCGAACTCATGAGCTGGCAAAGGGCGCGCTTCTAAAACCTGCTGAAACGCGCGAAGCTCAGCCCGCGGGGAACTCTGGATCGACCCTGGGGGCGCTCCGCGCGCAATGTGTTCAACGGGGCGCGCTGTGTAGTTGACGAATATCCATCCTGCTCTGGCGGACTCCGGCCAATGCCATACCGTTTCGACATGCCCCATCTGCGTAAATTCTCCGTGCGCCAGATCAAGCGCGCCAGATTCAATGTCCCAGCGGCGCATGTCATTGCGGCAAGACGTCGGAGGAAAACAGGACATGGGTGCCATGCCTCGAATCCAGAGCCAGGATCCGTGGGAACGCAAGGACCACGCACATCCACGCTGCCCATGGCTTAATCTCGTTGGTCAGCCCACCCCTCTCACCCCAGAGATATGCGATGCGAGGTGCAGCGCTCGCAAGCGCGCGCGGGGCGACATGACGCGCGCGCGCGCCCGCGCATGCTAGGGCGACTGGGCGCCCATGCACTTCCTCCAACACTCGCTCGTAGCAGACCAGCTTCGGCATCGTTGAACTTCCAAACTCTCGGGGCCCCTGGGGCCCCTCGGGCTCCACGCCCTAAATGGGGGGTCGCCGGGTCCCCCAGGGCGCCGCCGCAAAAGCCCAGCGACGGATTCAAGCCAGCGCCCAGGGGGCCCCTTGGGATGGATGATTCCCTCAGCTGGGTTAATTAGGTCGGGCAGCCCGCGCTTCCCGCGCGCGCCTGGCCGCCGCCGCTCTGGCGAGGTCTCGGGCGCGGACAGGGGCGCGCGCGCGAATGTCGAGCTTGTCGCTCCGATCAGGGACGATGGGAAACGCCAGCGTCGACCGCCGCCCAAGCGCGCGCGGGGGGGGGGGGGGCGTCATCGGCGACGGCAACCTTCGCCCAAGGTCGCTCCGCCTGTAGTACTCAATGTGCATGTCCACGCTGGGCGAGCTGCATGATGTCGTGAGCCGCGCCCCGATCTCGAGACAGAAGGACCAATTGCAATGCTAGCTGCGCCCAGCGTGCAATCTGGGGATCTTCGCACATGGACCCTAGGAGGCTGGAACCTGGAGCGCACCGCGCCCCCCTCATAATCCGTTTCATCTGCTCCACCAACGCAGGAGGGGCCCCGTGAACTCCAACTCCACATTGCATGGCTAACTGGAGCGCCTGCTTGGCAAAGCGATGGACCAGCGCGCCGACCGCACGGGCCATTCGCATCCTAGAGAACCTCCGACCAGCGTTGACGATCCTAGTCTGAGTCTTGCTGGCTGGACTCGATGAGGCGCCCCGAGCATGCTCCGGCGCTGAGACCTTCGAGCGCCGACGCATGCTGAAAACGTAGATTGCCGATGCCTTTGGCGACCTGCTTCCCGATGCGCGCGCTGCCACCGCCGGTCGCCCTATTGTTTTTTGCTGGCGGCATCCCCACGCCCTGCATCACCAGAAGAAGGAGACTTGGTAAGCAGCGAGTAAGCGGCATTGACGACAGCACCCGCGACGCCCACAATAGCAACCGTGATATCGTCGGCATGTACTTCGGTAGTCTTGAATATATGTTTCGCGCGGCAAAATAGCGAGTCGAACGAGTGAAGTTTAACGCGCTGCAGGCTGAACGAGCGGGCGTCCTGGCAAAACCCCACGCGTGCCCCGCACGGGCGCAGAACCAACCGGCATCCTAACACAGCCTTCTGCCAGCCGCCCACGCGCGCAGGGCGAGCGCCAGAAGGCTAGACGGAAATTGATGACGGAGGCCAGCCTGCACAAGCAAGCGCCACGGCACGCGATCGACGCATTTCTCGATGTCTACAATGGTTCGGAAGGTCGCGGGCGAGTCCGCGTCGTCTCTCGGCGCAGCTTCAGCTCGCGCCCAGAGTCGGGCAATGCGTCCGCGGTGCTGTTCTGAGCTCCTAGTGCCAAATAAGATCGCCACACCTGTCCAGCCTGCTTGTTCTGCTGGGCGTGGACTCGCCCACCTGGGGCCTGCCTGGCGGGACTGGATCCTGTTAACCCTGGCTTTTCCCCATGCCCTGTTGATGGAGGTGGGGAGGGCTGCGGGTCAGAAGCCCCCTGAGGCTTTCGACGGCAACGCGATGTGCATGCGCGTCAGGATGTTAGGCAATTTGCCCCAGGATTCGTAGAGGTGGAGGAGGTACCCCATGACAGAAAGCGCCCCAATTGACACCAATGACCAGCGCCGAGGTCGAAACATCTGCACTAACAGCCGTCCTCCGAGGGAACCTCTTAGCAGCGTGTCGGAGCTCGCGAATGGTCAACGGGGGGTAGCTGGGGTTCTTGGCGTTGCGCCCCCTCAGGACACCCGCGGGGTCATCGAGCTCCTCATCATCCTGAGACATATTCCTGGATAGGTACGTTGGGGCCTCGTGAAGGCCTCCCCACATGCGGCCCCAGGGGTTCTTCAGCGACTGCACTCAACAGTGACTTACGTGACCACTGGTTGAAATTCTTAGCATGTGCAGCCCCAGCCGCCGATTTCCAGCTTCGCCAGTCCTACCGAGGAGATCACCCACGAATTACAGCATGGTGCAAACGTGCTGATGGGGTTGTGCGGTGGTGCGTGTGATGAGGTGAACGATGTCGTCAATGTGCGCGGTGGCATGCGCTGCGTGAGCAGCCCATCCCGTCCGCACCCGCCCCACATAACATCTGCGAGCTTACCCCGCGCGTGCACGTGCGCGTGCGTGTTCTTGCTGACCTGTAAGATGCAATGATCGTGCGCGTGCTGCTGAAGTATGCGAAGTGCTCGTGGTGACTGTTTCGCCGCAGGCTGCTGCAGTGCAAGGGCACCTCCTGTGGTCGTGCAGTCATGCTTGCGTCCATCGGACCTCCCGCAGGAGTCGACTGCTGGCGGCGCGGGCTCAGCTTCATTTCCCTGAGACGCTCTTCACGATCATCTCCCTTGCCGAGCCCATGACGAGGGTCTCTCTGCATCAGGTCGGCCCACGACATGCGGGGCGCGTGCCACTGTTGGGAAAGTTGGGTTTGTCATCGTGTCCCTCCAGGGCGTCATCCTCGCAAGCCAAGGGCTCGACGGGCAGCGCCTTTGGACCCGCCTGGCGACGTGTCTGTTGCGCTCGCGGACGAAAGCCCGCTGATATAGCTACCGGGTGATGCCGGCGAGCAGGGTGGGGCGCCCTCCCTCTAATCCGAAACGGCATCTCCAGAATTGTACCCAACTTGTCATTAGTGAGCCAGTAGTCGGGCATTGAGTAGTTTCACGTTGCTGGGTCACGGCAAATACCTTGTCTAAACGCAGCGACGGTAGCATGAAGACGCTCTGGAAGATTGGACTCCGTCAGCAGGGACGGGTTGACGTTCCAATCGCCAGCCACTGCAAAGGGAATCGCGTAGCTGCTCGAGCAAGCTCCAATACTAGACGGTCTGAGGGCATTGGCGCGGCCGAGCTTGAGGCCCTGCTCTAAATAAGACGATGCCACAATCATCCCACCCCTAACGCCTGTCTGGACCAGGACTGCCACACTGCAGCCTGACACGATGACATGAGAGGCCGTGACAGCTCACAGCATCACGCCTGCGGTCGGCAGGCCAGCGTCGGCTAGCAGCGCATCGGTGACGAATGGCTTCCATCCCCGCTTACTACGCAACTGCATTTGAGGCCACCTGTTGGACTGTTGACGGTGGCCATCAACATTGCTCTGCGCTTGCTGTGCTTGAGCCCCCTCTGTGCCGACGGCGATGGCCCGTGCACTGGGCGCGCACCTATCAGTGACCCCTCGCTTCCTGACGTAGCAACGTTCTGCCCAGGTTCGCAAGAGCCAGCAAAACTATGACGATTCGCGTTCTGACTAGGAGCAGAGCGCGTTCGACTCCCATTTCGATTTTGCAAGGCAGCAACATCGTGAGCGACTTTCGAACTTGGGGAATCCAGGATTTGATAATACCACGCACAATGCCTTTCCGATGCCATCACCCAACAATCGTAACCTGGGGACGAAAAGGACACTTTGCTAGCCTGAGAGCCCACACCAGGATCATGCAGTCTTGCAAAGTGAGCACGAATGCGACCATCAGCGGACATAAGAGGCATGATGACGATAAGTTGATGGCGCTATTCACCGCTTGCTATCCACCGCTTCATTCCGTGATGACTGCTCCGCCTTCGGTGGTACCGTTGCCCCCGAACGCTTGAAGGTCTTCAGTCGGAACTTGAGCATCCCATGGAAGAGGAGGAGGAGAGGGAGGAGGAGGAGGAGGAGGAGGAGGAGGAGGAGGAGGAGGAGGAGGAGCAGTGGGAGCAAGGGGAGGAAGCGGAGGAAGAAGTGGGAATGGAAAAGGGGCGGAGAAGAGGCCCGCACACAAAACAGATGATCGCTGTGCCTGTCCTTCTTTCTTCGGCGCCTTCGCCCGTCCCCCGATCCAGTGATGGCCCTGAGTGGTACAACCTGCTCTTTCCTCATCATCGTTGGACTCCTCCTTCCGTTCCTCCTTATCATATTATTTGTCCTCCGTTGAGCAACAAATGGTGGATGCTGTGCTCCACCGCTCCCCATCCTCCTTTTTCGTCCTTCCTCTCGTCCTCCTCCTCCTCGTTCTCCTCACTCCCTCCTTGCCCTTTGCCTGCCCCTCTCCTCATCCTATGCGCGATGCGGACTGTCCTGGTGCTTGTGACTCCTCCTCCTCCTCCTCCTCCTCCCTCCTCCTCCCTCCTCCTCCTCCTCCTCCTCCTCCTCCTCCTCCCCTCCTCCTCCTCCCCCTCCTCCTCCTCCCCCCCTCCCCTCCTCTCCTCCTCCCTCCTCCTCCTCCTCCTCCTCCTCCTCCTCCTCGCGTCCTCCTCCTCCTCGTCCTCCTCCTCCTCTCTCCCTCATCTCCTTTTCCTTCTCTTCCCTCACTCCGGGTGCCCTCGATGGGGGAGGCTGGCGCGGCGGGGCGCACCTTCCCCCCCCCCCCCCGCGTGCCAGGAGCAGCAGATCCGAGGCACGGACCCTGGCCTGCCCTTCTTCATGCGAGCCTTCCTCTGAGCAGAGAGGGCTCCAGACGTCCGCGGTCGGCTTGCCGCCCGGGCCTCTGGCGCCGAGGGGCCTTCCGAAGAGTGCCCAAAATGCTTCCCGCGCCTGCCTGGCATCGCTCGGACGTGTGCATTTTTTTTCGGCGGGGACCATCGAGGAGCATCCGTGATAACGGTCGAAGAAAACAATTAGTAGACACTCCCGCTCGCGCGGGAAGGACTGCGGTCGAAGTGCCTCTCATCCAGCCCACCGCCAACATTGATCATTGGGGGGGGCATTGACAGATGAATGTGGCACGAGTGTTCGCTAATTTCTTCCGAGGCCTGTATCGAGCCAAACAAACACGCACGAAATCGAAAAATGCAGTGGGAATGGACGTCCGAGCGATGGCAAGTCTGATGGCTCTGGGGACGTTTCGCATGGTCTTGGATGCGTCTGGAGGTGCTGGTTGTGTGCTGTTGCCCTTGGAGTGTCTCAAATGTTTGGGGGGTTTCTGTTGTTTGCGGAGGTTCAGGTTTTCGGGCCCATGGATGCATGTGCCAACCGCTGCGCCTCGCTGGGAGCCTGCCGAGGGTGCCCGAATCATCTCGCGCGGGCCTTTCCGGACAGACTTGTGGATCCCAGAGTCGGGCATTGCATTAATAGGGGCACGATAAATGGGGGGGTGAATTGGCGGCGCGCACAGGGGGATAGGGGGAGGGGGGAAGGCTGCTTAGAAGGAGACTGCTTCTTAGAAGGCACCTGCCCTACATCTATAGACAAGGCCCGACGGTCCGCGCGGATTTCTTGGATCTGCGCCTGGCCCCCCCCTGGCGGCGCATCTGGCGCACCCCTGGTGCGCTCCGCGCGCCAGGGAGGGGGGGTTCAGCGCAGATCCAAGAAATCCGCGCAGATCTCCGAAGGTTTATGTTTATGAGGTTTTTTCTTACCCTTATTCCTACAGTGGAAACCCATGCCAAGGAGCACCCCGCTTGCCTCCGGGGTGCCCTGGGTTTCGATGGTTTTGAGGGATTTTTGCTGTGGAACGCGTGACGTTCCCGCGCCAAGGATCAGTGGACGTCCTGGGGTCTCAGGGTTGGGTTTCTTGTGGAAGGTTTCTTGCGGTCGAGCTCCTGCTGTGTAGTACGTGTCTGGTGGCGGGCGCTCACTGGCCGCACTCGAAATCCCTCAATAGTCGACCCCCCAACAAAAACCAGACCCCCCCTTTAACGGCAACCTAATTTTCCGGAACCCTTTGTCAACGGGGGGCCGCAATATTTTGGACCCCTTCGTCTTCGGTTTGAAGAAACCGTCCTCATAAACCGGACCCCCCGCTTCCAAAAAAGACGCCTGAAAAAACCAGACCTTGGGGATAATAATTAAGGATTTCGAGTACCGCTCGGCAAACGATAGGACGCATTGTACCAGTATTAAAGTCGGGCCTCTAGGCGGACATGCCCGACCTAATACCCATCGGTCGTTGAAAGTAGGTATTTCTGGATTCCCAGATTTCAATATACTTGCAGCGCCTTCCTACTTCAATGATCGAGTGTCTCTACCTTTTCCGTCCTCTTTAGTGGGCGGGCGGACGCCCAATCTTTTTTCAACGCCTTCCTACTTCATGTTTCTACCTACTTCTGACCGATGGGTACTAGGACGTCCCTTTGCGTTCCATGCCCACGAACGACCAACACGGAAACCACCCAGACCAAAGCAAGCGTCGAGACGGTCGTGACCCCATACGCTCCAGTCTTCTCTGCGAGGCCACGGACCCTCGGGGTGCTTGCCAGTCTCGGCATGCCTCTCACCACGTTCTCGTTACACTACAGAGAGTTCCACCTACGGCCACATACCGCCCCCGTTTCGGCACACCCCTCACGAGGATCATGCCCCACATGGAGCTCCGCGTACGGCCCCGGCGGGAAGAACTTGCATGGCAGCAGCGCCGCGCCCACTGCGTTGCGCCTATTTTGGCACACCCCTCACAGGGATCGTGCCCCACAGGTAGCTCAGCGCGCCTTTGCGCGCTCACTCCACGGCCCCCATATCCGCACTGCCCCGCGGCGCGTTGTATACGAAGAGTGTGCTGCGCCCCGCACTACACGCAGCTGCATCGCCAGGATAATTGTTTGTCAGTGC